GGGGGGGGGGGGGGGGGGGGGGGGGGGGGTTCGGAACGCGGAAGGCTCCGTGGTCGTTAAGAAAAACAGGCTTAGCCTTTAAAAAAAAATCCAATAATCATTTATTTGGCACAGACGTATTTGACGCAGAGACGAACCATCTCATCACCGTTCGGAGGGAAAAGGTAGAATCCGCTTGGCAACCAGGAGAGAATAGAATACATTCCACAGGCTTCTTATGTGTGAGAATTATCTTGCATTTGGTCAAGCCATCCTTACTCTTGTCACCATTTTTGAATCCATACGATAGCTAACGCATATTCAGTTTTATTTTTCAAAGCTTAGGTGAAACCATCACCAGGGACAGACATGTTAGGAGCTGTCTGGTACAGCTCCTACTGAGTGCATATATGAGCCAGGCACTGTGCTGAAAGCGTTCTACTTATTGTTTACTTCCTAACGGAAGACGGGGTTAGACAATCATTTTTGTTTTACAGATGGAGGAAACAAACCTCCAGTAAAAACACCCAGTGCCCAGAAATAATGGGTTCACCCAGATTCCCAAGTTTGGGTAGTGGCAAAGCGGGGATATGAACCAGGGCCGTTAAGATTTGAGCTTCTCCTTTTTTATTACTTGTTTCTTGGAGAACCCAGTATTACAGAAACAAAAAAGGGGACAGAGGGAAGTGGGTACCACTGACCTTCCTTGTTTTCCCCAGAGCCCTGTGTGAAGAGCAGCTGGTACTGGCGATTTGGGAAGTTGGCTGGAAAAAACTTATTCATGAAGGGGCTGGAAAGAAAGACAAAGCAGGTCGGCAAACAGAGCCCCCATGGGCAATCACAACTCTTAATAGTCCCTGCTAATATCCATTTATGGCTGTTCTCCCCAGTCACCTTTTATAAGAGCCCTAGCAGGTACAAGTTATTGTTCCCACTCTGTAGATGTGGAGTCTCTTAGAGGATGGCCTGACCAGGGTCACACAGGGAGCCAGAATCTCAGCTGCGATTCAAACTGAGGTTTCTGAACTCTTAGTGATTTGCTTTGCTTATTGACAAAGTGGACATAGGCACACTTGGTATGTAAAATTTGGGTAAGAGTTAGAAATCCCAAGTCTGGCCCATGTGCCTTCTACATCACTTTCTTGTCAAGAATGGACTTCTAGACTTCCGTGTACTGATTGACAAAGAACTGGGCTTTTACAAATGTAAAATCCAGCTGCCAAATGAACCATAGCCCCCAGGGTAGGAACATCCTCATTTTCATGCCTACTATGAGGTCTGTTGCTTAGGACCAGCCTAGCTTTAAAAGCATTGTTACCTAGCATGCTCCACCTCCTGGCCAGGCAGGGAACTTATGTTCTTTTCCAGACCACACTGGCATGAGTTCAGCAAACCAAGGCCTTAGTGCTGTAGAGTGGTTACTAGTTCTCACAGCCCTGTGGGGTTACCTTAGTGATAGCCTCCCTAGGCTTGGGCCACCTTACCTGTGTGTGAGGATGAGCATATGGCCTATCTCAAAGAGGCATGTGAGGATCAGATAAGGCAGGGAAGATGCTGAGCTCAGTGCTGGCCTGAAGCAGGGATGTTTAAGAACTGTGAACAAAGGTCACAAAAGACATCCCAGATGTTTCCCAACTAAGAAGTAAAGCAAGGTAGGCCTGAAAACATATAGGTCACAATGGATGAGTTTTTTTTTTTTTGAAATATACTCTGATGGCTTGGAGAATATGAATTTAAGAACTATCTCTGGTCCTCAGGTCCCCACTTGTCAAACAACTGCTCCCTTGCAGCCTTGGGTTGTGGTATGATTGATGATGAATGGCATCACAGGTAGAGAAGTGGCAGGCACAGGGCTGGAATCTGGAGTAGGCATTCATGGGAGAGCTCTGAAGAGATGCAAGGCAGAAGCAGCCAGGATGCTGGAGGCTGGAAGCTCAGTTTGCAGAATCTCTTTTGGGCAAGGTGAAGCCACAGTGCATGTGCAGACAGAGGCAGAGAGCAGTTTGCGGAGCTGAAGCATCCTAGCCTCTCAGGAGCCTGACACCTGCATCAGCATAACAGACTTGACACATGTGTCCTAAGTTCAAGTTCCACCTCTGCCACTTCTGAGAGGTGTGATCTTGGGGAAGTCACTTAGCTGCTCCTTGCAACCCTTTCTGTATCTGAACATTATAATATATTTCTCAGAGGATTATTTATTCAAAGATAGAATCTCACTCTGTAACTCAAGTTGGCCTTAAATGTGTAATGAACCATCTTCCTGTTTCTGTCTCCCAAGTGCTGGACTTATAGACTAACCAAGTCTGATACTCTCACAGGATTAAGGGGTTAAGCTGATGCTTGATATCCTACGAGTTCAACACAGCTTCCACTTTGAGTGTTAAATGTCTGGACTGATCTCTGCATGTGATCTACACCACTGAGCTACACATCCAGCCATTATTTTGAGATAGAGTCTCTCTATGTTGCCTAGGCTGGCCTCCAATTTTGGATGCTCCTGTTTCACCCCTCCAAATAGTTGGGGTTACTGGCAAGCACTGGGAAAAGGGCTTGCTGTCTAACACAACAAAGGATGACCTATGTCATGCAACTGGTGTGAGTCTGACTTGAGGGTGCGGCCCTGACTCTTCATCGTCATCTCCCACGCCAGACAAAGTGGTATATGTTAGCTAGCCAACTCTGAATGCACTTTTACTGTGGTCAGAGTGTTTTTATGACTTCCATGGCTCAAACAGACATAAAGTTCATTGCTTTGCACTGAGAAATATCCTGGTACCCTTGTCTTCTGGGGTTAGATGGTAAGGGTTAATGAAACTGATGATGTACCCTTGTTATCCTGAGATAGAAGACTGGGACTTTCTGTCTGTGGGCCACTTGAGTAGGGCAGGAGCTTGGTCACAGGTAATAAAAATAGGCCAAGGCTGCCTAGGCAAAATGTGTGGAATCGAGCTGGGTTATAGTCTTGGTGACTATATTAGGAGAAGGCAGGATGTGACCCCTGCCTGCCCCAATACTGGGAGCTGCGTTCTGTGCTGAGCAGTCTGAGGTGGGCAGTGGGATGGCAGCAGGGGTGGAGGGATTCAGAACTGCAGCTGAGGCCAGCATGGCCTGGGATATGGCTACTATTGCCTTTAGCCGTCATTTTAGAGATCTTTGGAGAGGACAGTCTCCAAGTTCTCCCTTCTCTTTAACTTCTGCTGGAGTAATAAAGAATTCTAACATTGGAGTTGAACGGACCTGGGATCAAAATCCTCATCTGTAAATCCTGGTTGCCACAATAACTATTTGAACCTCAACTTCCTTGTCTCATACCTCCAGACCTTATGGTATAAATCAAGAGGCAAGCCTGGCTTGTGGATATAAACAGAATGTGGAAACTCTACACTGCAGCTTTAACTAAAAGACTCAAGAAAACATAACTCCAGTGAGTGAGAGTCAGTTTAATTTTTAGATCAACACTATGATTAAATTATATTCCCCTTTGTAATGAAATTGCCTTTGTTGGGTTTTGTTCTTTCTCACGATACCCCTATGACTTCATTCATTTGGCAGTTTTTATAGCCCAGGCTTGTCATGAGGTCATGATCCTCCTGCCTCAGCCTGCCAAGTTCCTGGAACCTTTACATGAGTGCCAGAGCACATTATTATTGCTCTAAATTTTATTACGAACATGATTCATGGGTGTGGATGTGGCTTAGTGCTAGAACACTTGACTAGTATATGGGAGGCCCTGGGTTCTATTCCTAAAACCAGAAGAGAAAAAAACAAAATTCAGGGGCGGGCTGAAGTCTGGTAGAAGAGACTGCCTAGGGAAGGAAGTACAAGGAACTAAGGCTAACAACAACATGAAAGCAAACAAACAAAAAACCAAAACCAGTCTCTAGCTGACAAATTTTACCATGGACCATTTATTTGTAATTTTGAGACACTATTTCATATAACTCAAACTGGTCTTGAAGTAGCTGTGGATGACTTTGAACTCCTGCTCTTCCTGCCTCTACCTCCCAAGTGCTAGGATTAGAGGCACGAGTCACCAAATAAAACCCTGTCTGCCTTTTCTTTTGAGACAGGGTTTCATAGTTGAGACAGCCCTGGTTGGTGTGGAACTGTGTAGACGAGGCTGAACTTGAACTCAAGAGATTTGCCAGTCTCCTGAGTGCTGGGATTAAAGGTGTGTAGTACCACCTGATTTCCCATGAGGTTAACAGCTGACTTTTTTGCTTATTTGTTAAGTTCAAATGTAGGGCCTTACCCTTATTAGGCAAGTGTTCTCCCCCTAAGCTATATTCCCAGGCTCTGAGGAATATTCCTTTATACTCTGTGAATATATGTCACTGTAACTGGTTTAATAAGCTGAGTGGCCAATAGCTGTACAGGATAAAGTTAGGTGGGAAAGCCAAAGAGAATGATAGAATGAAGGAGGGTGGAGTCAGGAGTCCTAGGCCCGATGCAGAAGGAACAGAAGAACATGCCATGCTAATAAAAGTACCACCACGTGGCAAAACATAAATAAGGAAGATGGGTTAACTTAAAATGTAAGATCCAGTTAGTAATAAGTCTGAGCTACTGGCCAATCATTTACAATTAATATAAGTCTCTGTGTGATAATTTGTAAGTGGATCCCAGGACGAGGAAAACTGCCTTCCCCCAGGCAATTGCTGGTTTTCTTCCCTGCTGATAAGATCTATCACAAAAATTTATGAATTGCTTAGAAGCAGAGACAACTGGTTAATATGAGACATTAGGAACACAAGTTTGTGGGGAGTTGGATGCAAGGCAGCTGAGATACTGTGAATTAATCACTTTCCAAGCATATGGCCCGAAGGTTTCTTTGAAAGTGTATGTTCTGTGTAGTGAAGCTAGGCTATGGATGAACTGGGAGATCTCAAACCTCTTGTAGACACTGTGTGGGACTGGCTAGACTTGAAGAAGTCATTAGCATAGAAAAGGAGACCCAGAATTTCAAAGTGGTGGCTCCTGTCCTTGCCTTAGGTCTGCGGAGTGCTGGGCCTTCTATTATTTTTGCTAGTCATCCAGGTTCTGAGATGGTCAAAGTACTTACAACTCAGCTAGAATAAGATTTTGCAGGTGAAGATGGTGCTGGGTTTAGTACAAAGCCCACTGCCAAAGTCCCAGCTATGTAACACTGAACCAGTCCGGGATGGCTCACAGTGTGCTGGAGACAGCAGCCCATCTGCTGCTTCCTGCCTATCAGAAGGTTCTGTATGTTGCCCATAGGGGGAAAAGCGGACACTTAGGCCGAAGCTACCTTTTGAGACTACACTCTGACTGCCTAGAGGAATAAGCCACACTGTCCTCGGCGTTCATTGCCTTTAGGGCAGATTCTGCTGTCTAGCTCTGAATACTTTGGTGGGGCACCTCTCTCCTTACACCTCTCCTAGGCTTCCTACCTTCTATACCTGAGTGCAGCTGAGTTCCTTCCTTTGGGTAACCTTTCCTGGCCACTCCTCAGTCTTACCTGTGGGCTGCTGCAAAGAGGCAGACAGAAATGTGCCGGGCTACCGCTGTTATCCACACTGGGGATAAGGCTCTCACTTGGCGAATGTGAAAGGATTGCCCTGCAGAGTGAAGGGAGCCAGCAGCCCTTGCTCCAGTGACACTGTCCCAAATCATTTCTGCCTGATGCAAGCGACTGGGTCCAAGCAGAATGACCTGTGCCCACAGACCTGGACTTTGATCCTGATTTTGCTGTTTGCCAACCATGTGATTCTAGCAAATGGTTGATATCAAATCACATATCTTATTCTAACTTCAGCTTCTCTAATTGTAACCCAGGATCAACAGCAAGAGCTAGCTGGCCAAGGTGTCTAGCAAATTGACACAGGCGATCACAGCCATTCTAGCAAGGGTGACAGTTGTACCTATTGACTACAAGACGGGTTCTACATGAAACGTATTACTTTTTTTTTTTTTTTTTTAAAACACACCTTTGAGGAGACTGAAGTCAGAGAGGTTAACTTGGAGTGTAAGGCCAGGTGGTCAAGTTCAGAGGCTGCATTCTCAACCCTCTACTGTTAGGAGTGTGTGCCACGAGGAACTGAGCTGAGTGCTTGGCAAGTGCCATTAGGGTGACACACTTCACCACTGTTAGGACTCTTGTGACACTCCCGACTGGGTCTTATAGTGTAGCCCAGATTAGCCTGGAACTTGCCTCAGCATCTTGAGTGCTGAGAGCCACCATAATTGGCTAGCCTTTCTAAGTCCCTATAAGGAGACTGGCCCAGAAGGTTCTAGTGTCCATCCTAGGTCATGTACAATGTGACACAAAGGGAAGAATCCCTTGGACATGTTCCCATCCAAGACCCTGTACTGGCTCCTGAGAAAGTGGCTTCAAAGGCTGCCGGGAGATGCCTTCTGACCTGATGGTGTGTGACAGGGCCAGGATCCCCAGCACGAAGAAATACATGGACAGCAAGAGGTTGATGTACTCCTGGGAGAAGATCTGAGGAAGAAATACAAAAAGAAACAAGTTAGGGTTGCTAGAAGCCATGAGGAGTCTCCTGGAGCTTGGTCTCATTCTGCCCTTTGGGAGTTAGGTCAGGCAGGAAGAATCTCAGATTCTAGTGCTTCCATTTTCACAGCTAGGGGAAAGGGCAGCACCTCAGGTCCCACCCAGATGGACTCTACCTACAAAGGCGTCTAGATGCTCACATGTGATTTCAACATTTGGAGAAGGGCAATTACTATGTGTGCCTAGGGTCTTACATGAAAGTCATAAAGGTACAGGGGAGGAGTCTGAAATCAAACCCAAGAGCAGTTTCAGAAGCAAGAATTTGCTCTTCAGTGTTTCCTTCTCCCTGCTCAAAAATCCGGGAGCTCTAAAGCGTGCTACTTATAAGATCTCTGGGTACCCTGCACTCCACTTCTCAACTCAGCTCTTGCCTCCCCATGCCTGTGATAGCAGCTGGAGTCGGGACACCAGGTTGCCATTTCATCATTGTCAGTATTGATGCTCCAAAGCTAGCTGTCACATGCTCATTCACTCTGGACCCTGGGAAGGTTGTGCGGAATCTGTGCCCGCTGCAGCCTGTGCTCCATTGGTCACTGTGCTGTCCTCTTAACTGGGAGGCAGGGCTGTGCTTTTCTCGGGGGTACAGGACCCACACTGCTTGAGTAAGACTCTTAACGTTATTGCTTAAATCAGAGTCTGATCATGTCACTCTCCCACGCCAAGCCTCGCCACTGTGTCCCTTTGCTGCATGCTGTTCCTTGAGTGGGAAGGCCTTGCAGTCCCTCCTGATGGAGGCTGTAGAGCCCTCTGCCCTGCTCACACACTGCCCTGTCTGTGTTTCACAGGCTGCAGCCTCAGCCCCATTCCCAGGCAGCCTGGGTGTGTGCTCTTGGGCTGCCGAGATGTCTCTTTCCCCCCTTACCTAGGTCACCCCAACTCTTCCTTCATCAGCTCTCAGCCCTGAGAAGCTTTACTCAGGTACCTGTCTGACCCTTGCCCAGCAATTTGGCTACATTTCCTGAGTGCCTGCTATGTGCAGGGCATTGAGCCAAATACTAGCCATACAATGAGGAGTAAGGCAAGTTCAGAGTTCATATGCTGATGAGAGAGAACCTCAAAGAATGCTGGGAGCCAAGGGAGTGCCAGGCTTTGCAGCACCATGACAGACTTCAGACTCATCAAGCAAGATGATGAATGACGAATGACGGAGGGCTGCAGGCAGGGTTGTGGGCAGGCAGGGCTGCGGCACGCTCTGAGGGCCTGAGAGGGTCCTCCTGCTGTGGGAGCTAGCCGAGGGAACAGAGTCAAGTGTGGTCTGTCTGCCTACGGGGTATTCAAGATTTAAGAATGAAAGAACAATTAACACAGGGGGCTAGAGAGGTGGCTCAGTTTAAGAGCAGTGACTGCTCTTCCAAAGAAAGTTTCTGAGCTCAAATCCCAGCAACCACGTGATGGCTCACAAACCATTTATAATGAAATCTGGTGCCCTCTTCTGGCAGAACACTGTATATAATGAATAAATAAATCTTAAAAAAAAAAAAGAAAAAGAACAATCAACACAGGCTATTGAAATGGCTCAGTGAGTCAAAGTGCTCATTGCCAAGCCTGGAGACAAATCTAGGTCTATCATTAACAGATTCTCAAGAAACTACAGGAGCGGGTCCAACTTGTTTGTACCTTTCCTTAGGTTGAAGTACACATGTACACATATGCACGCATGTATTTTGTTACTGTGTTAATAATGGAATCCAGAGCTTTGTACATGCTAGGGAAGCATTCAATGACTGAGCTACACTCCTGAAAAAAACTAATCATTTAAATGTACTTTGCAATCGCAAATTGAAGCTATTCTTGACTAAGTTTCAACAAACAGGAAATGAATGCCTGTGATAAACTGGTAAAAATACCAGGAGTTTCACACTTTCCTTCTGATGCTGAGGCACACTGACCAAAAGCCTGAAGGGAGCCACACAAATGGTAACACTGATGGCCCATTGTGGCATCTAACGTTACCTGTCTGGTATATATTACTTTCTCACTTAGAAAGCAGTGCACACTGGAGAACATGTGCACGGAGAAGAATGGCTTACGGAGCATTTAGCTACATGAGAAAATGCTCATGACGGTTTCAATGAGAAGTGGAAGCTATGGATAGGCTACAGTGTGGGGCCACAGCTATGGAGAGGACACACACCTCCGAAGGGGAACTGCCAGTGTCTCTCTGGAAGTTGAATTTTGGATGGCAGCTATCTTTTCCTTTTTCCTTTTCTATGTTTTCCAAGTTTTCAACAATGACCACTGTTTAACTTCGACTGGGAAAATAAATCTCAATAAATTAAAAACAAAACAAAACAAACGGTGGCTAGTGTGGCAGAGGTATGTCTGCAACAAAACCACACTCCAGACCAGCACAAACAACATGAGGAAACAGAGCTGGAGCCATGTGGAGAAAAGGGCTGGCTGGTGGGGAAGAGAAAACCCCAACAGGCTCTGGCTGGGACCGATGCTGAAATACTCATTCTCCCTGCTGTTCTCTGTAAATGATCACGCATAGGATAAAGTTACCTGGGCAGCAAAGGACTTACTTTGAAAAAGAGGTAGAGCCCCAAGAGAGTGCAGCTGGCGATGATGGGAAAGCGGGCAGCATCTCGGCTGGTGATGGTTTCTGGCATGTCTGAAGAGCTCTGCAGAAAGAAGAAAGGTACAGCTGAGCCACCACGGCTGCATGCTGTGCTGCTGGAACAAGAGGCTTCAGCGGCCATCTCCTCCCTCCATGCTGGTCCACTGTGGTGTCTCATTGTTTGTCTCAAGGCTTTGGCTAATGTTATGCTCTCTACCACACAGGTTTATAATCACAGATGTTGTAATTAGCAAAAATATGGCACGGCTAAGGAGCTGACAATGGATAAATATTTACACAAAAAGGAACAGAACACTGTAACCCAAAGCATTTCAGCACTGTAACCGAAGATGGAGGGACAGTGGAGCACAAGGATTAAGTTAGTTCTATAGAATTGAGTCCACCTCTTTAACAAAACATCATTAGCATTAGTACAATCCTGATTTAAATTTGTACTAAAAAATTTTAACATGGAGGTGGTGGTGCACCTTTAATCCCAGCACTCAGGAGGCAGAGGTAGGTGATTCTCTGCAAATTTAAGGCCAGCTGGTCTACATAATGAGAACCCTAATCTCAAAAACCACAAAATCCTCATTGTCTTTAGGGACCCAGTTAGCACCCCTGCTGGGAGGTCCTTCCAACCTCTCCTAGAGTTAGGCCCACTCCTCACCCCTTTCTCCTTTAGAGGTGGATGCCCATGGACCCTGCTATTCAGCCTCCTGGGTAGCTGGGATTACAGGTGTGCACCTTAGTGCTTGGCTCCCCTATTTTATATCACAGTCATCCAAAGTCCTAGCAGTGCCATAGTAGGCAAGGTCTCATCACAGCACCTGGAACTTCACTATCACAATATCCACCTTGTGACGAGGCATCATGGGAGAAAGACCCCAAGCAGCTGTGGAGGCTCACCAGTAATCTGACTCACCAAATTTGTTAGGAAAAAGCATGCTAAGAGGGCAGCTATCTGGAGAGGAAGAGTTTGAATCTGAGAAGTTCTTGTGCCCCAGAGTACAAGGATGCAAAGGGCAAAGCGACAGGAGCTAGGCAGCAAGCCTGTTAACTATCACCGGGTAAGGGAGGCCTAAGTGTGCACACCATCACTTACATGTGTACAAGCCTGGGCAGCCTTTGGATGGCAATGTAATGGGATGCGTGCAGTTTAGATATGCCCTGTGACACAAAGAACACACACCTATGGGTGCATGTGTGTACCCCTTTCATATGGAGACGGGCTCTCACTCGAACCCATAGTACTTCAATTTGTCCAGTCTGTCTAGATAGCTTGATCGAAGGGTCCTGTCCCTGTCTCCTAAGTGCTGGGATTACAGGTGGATCGCCACACCCACTCAGCGTTTACCTGTAGTTGGGCCTGAACTCTAGTCCTCACTCTTGTGGGACAAGTGCTTCACCAACTGACTTATTTCCTCAGCTCCAAATCTCATTCTTTTTAAAATTCTTTGTGTGGTACTGGGGATTGGATCCAGGGTCCCACACACAGCCAGGCAATCACTCTATTTCTAAGATTTGTCCGTCATTCTACACATTAAATTAAAGTATATCAGGATTCCACTTCTCATCTACCAGAATGGCAAGAATCCATGCTTGGTAAGACACCAAGCTGACGAGCCATGGGGCAAATGAAGGCCAACAGGTCTTCCCATAGAGTTAATTGTGATATATGTCAAAACCTCTGGCCAAATAATCCAAAATCAGGGCTGGAGAGATGGCTCAGAGGTTAAGAGCATTGACTGCTCTTCCAAAGGTCCTTGAAGAATTGAAGGTGGTTCAATTCCCAGCTCACAACCGTCTGTAATGGGGTCTGGTGCCCTCTTCTGGCCTGTAGGCATACACACAGACAGACTATTGCATACATAATAAATATTTTTTTAAAAAAAGAAAATCTTAAATCTCAAATAATCCCAAATCTGGGGATCGTCCCTACAGATATTCATCGCCAAGTCTCGGGTTACTCCTCTTTCAAACAACCTGTAGCTTGACTTTCCTCAACGCAGGGGAGGGGCGCTAAGAGGTTGAATGGAGACCAGGATAAATATGGGGTATTAAAAAAAAAAAAAAGGAAACCGTGACCCTGTGAGAGGAATGGAAAGGTCTTTTACTCGCCCCCACCCACAGGGCTGAGGGGCTATCTTAAGCTGCAAGGCAGGCCACCCCTGAGAAGCTCTCCAGTTTGCAGGAAGGGGGAGAAGATGGGCAGTTCTGACAGGGAGGCCCGGTTTCCTTCCTTCTCTCCTTTGCCAGCCCCTGG